AGCTTTGTTTTTGGGCAAATGCTATCCTTTTGGTCTGGATTGGTTGATTGTACTGAAGAATACATTCCTTCTGAGTGTTATTATTTCCTTTAAAGGCCTTTCTATTGGTTGGGTGAAAGTGCATCCCTGAGGGTGGGTTCAGTTCCAGGCTTGAAGGGTGTTTAAGGGCCACAGCCTTGGCGGTTCCACCCATCTCTATCAGACCAGTAAGTCTGGTCTTTTCCTGATAGCTCTCCCAATTGTCTCCTAAGTTCAAGTTCCTCAGCATGGAATTCAAGAGCTTCCCACACAGATGTCGTATCTCCTGTCTGTCCAGCTTTGACTTCCACATTTCCTCTGAGAAGTCTTAGTGGTGCAGTGAAGTGTACTCACCACTTCATCACTTAGTGGTGAAGTCTTAGTGGGCCCATGGGAGAAAGACTTGGTGATCTACTTCTGTAATAACTGCATCCTAGGGCACCCTATGGGACAGTTCTACTCTGTCCTGAAGGGCCGCTATGACTCAGAATGGACTTGAGGGCAGTGGGCAGCTGGACCTTTCTTCTGAAGAACCCTGGTGGCACAGTGATTAAGCATCTAGCTATTAACTGAAAAGTTGGTAGTTCAAAGCCACCAGCAGCTCCATGAGAGAAAAGACCTGGTGATCTACCCCCATAAGATTACAGCCTAGTAGAAACCCAATGGGACAGTTTACTCTGCCACATGGGCTCCCTACGAGTCCAGAATTGCACAGACGAGCACCAACGTTTTCTTTGGAACATTCTCCAATCAACAAGACTCTGTTTAGTAGATACATGGATGTGCCCTATGGCTGTGCTACCTCTCTCTCGTTAGCATCCCATCCTACCCTTCTTCTATCACAGCCTGTCAAGGCTCATTCAAATAACACCTCTGAGAAGAGAGCTGTAATCTCCCCAGTCACAACGTACCACTCTCCTCTCACTTCATTACAGCTTCATTCCACTTATATTCTGTGTCTGATCGTAATAGGTATTTCTTTATAGTCTGGGAGACACATAAGTGAATAAAACCTATTCCCAACTCCAGAGATCAAACATCGCTGTGGGTCTTAAACTGTAATGTGCCTAACACTCACTAGAAAAGTGTGTTTGAAACGCAGTATCTTTGAGATACTATGTACTAAGATGGGCTAGGGCTGAGGAACCTTTTTTTTTTTTTCTGGTAGTTTTTAGCCCTGAAATGAGTAGAGTTGTTATTATTCAGATAATGAGACATAAATTTGCAAAACCAAACCAAATCAAACCAACAATGGATTCTATTTAGATTTGTGTGTTTTATTTTTCTTTGTGATTTGGGTGAAAGTTTACAGAGCAAATTCATGTTGCACACAGCACTTCATACACATTTTGTTTCATGATCTTGACTGCAATCCCTACCATGTAACAGCTCTCTTCCCACTTCCTCCCTGTGGTTACCCTTTTCCTGTGTCCTTCTTTCCTATGCATTCCTGCCCTGAAATCTTATAAATGACCCCTGGCTATTCCCATGCAAGTGCTCTGTAGGTCATAGTTTGAAAAATATCATCCTGCAGGCTATCAGCATCTCACATAGTTGTTGGATGCTGTTGAGTTGATGCAGACTCACGTGACCCCATGTGACAGAGTAGAAATGTCTGGTAGGGTTTTCTAGGCTGTAATCTCTACTACAGTTTAACAATCTGCAACATGCAGATGACACAACCTTGCCTGCTGAAAGTGAAGATAACTTGAAGCACTTACTGACGAAGATTAAAGACTACAGTCTGCAGTATGTATTACACCTCAACACAAAGAAAATGAAAATCCTCACAACTGGACCAGTCAGCAGCATCATGATAAATGGAGAGAAGACTGAAGTTGTCAAAGACTTCATATTACTTGGTTCTACAATCAACACCAATGGAAGCAATAGTCAAGAAATCAGATGACGTACTACACTGGGACAATCTGCTGCAAACAAACAAACAAACACAAACAAACAATCCCTTTAAAGTGCTGAAGAGAGAGGATGTCTTTCTGAAGATGAAGGTGCGCCTAACCCAAGCAATGGTATTTTCAATGGCCGCATATGCATGTGAAAGCTGGACAATGAATAAGGAAGACCAAAGAAGAGTTGATGCTTTTGAGCTGTGTTGGTAAAGAATACTGAAAGTCCTGTGGATTGCCAGAAAAACAAACAAATCTGTCCTGGAAGAAGTGTAGCTGGAATGCTCCTTGGAAGCGAGAATGGCCGGACTTCGTCTCACATACTTTGGTCATGTTGTCAGAAGGGACCATTCCCTGGAGAAGGATATCATGGTGGGTAAAGCGGAGGGTCAATGGAAAAGGGGAAGGCTCTTAACAACATGGACTGACACAGTGGCTGCAACGATGGGCTCAGGTATAGCAAGGACTGTGAGGCTGGTGCAGGACCGGGCAATGTTTCGTTCTGTTGTACACAGGGTCGCTATGAATTGGAGGCGACTTGATGGTACCTAACAACCACAACAACAATCTTTATAGAAACAGTTCATCAAGCCTTTCTCCTGTGGAGGCACCGGATGGGTCTGAACCACCAATCTTTTGGTTTTCAGTCAAGTGCTTAACCAGTGTGCCACGAACGTTTGTTGAATTCATGAGTTGCCAAAGGCTACAGGGAGCTAATAGAATAAAACAGAATCCAGCCCTCATGCCTCAAGCATGAAAACAGAGCAAATCTCCATTCATCAGTAACCAGGTGGCAGAGAGTCCAGCCCTATCTTTAGTTCTAAAGCATACTCTCTTGGCTCCAGTCTCCTCTTTATAAAATATGCACGTGGGCACGAATTTGTGGGAGGTGTCGCCTACTTGACACCTTGGCCCTTTCCAGCAGTACATCGTTAGGAACAATCAGCATATTTTTCCCTCAACGGCTGCATAATAATTTTCAATGATTCAAACTAGTTTCATTTCAGTTTTGCAAAAGTAACAATCTGTGCTGCCCCCCAGTACCCAGAGGGGAGGCCCTGAGCAACTGGCCATGTGGTCTGCATTTAGAGTAGCTTTTCTAGGAGCGAGGACAGACTGACTCAAGTCAGCCCTGCTCTCGACACCTGCCGCCTTTGTCTCTCAGGGCAGAAGTATTAGTAACCAACTCACTAATGCATTCTCGAATAGTGCACTCTATGGCAGCTTGGTTAACGTGTCCATACAGTTTGAATTCAAGAGCCCAAGTGAGACGCAAACCTGTTGCTGTCGAGTCACTTCTGACTCACAGTGACCCTGTAGGGCAGAGAACTTCCCTCTTGGGTTTCGAAGGTGGTGTGGTGGTTAAAGCTTTCGGCTGCTAGCCAAAAGCTGGGGGTTCAAAACGACCAGCTGCTCTGTGGGAGGAAGATGAGGCAGTCTGCTTCTGTAAAGATTTCAAGCCTTGGAAACCCTACGGGGGTAATTCTATTCTGTTCTGTAGGGTCAGTGTGAATCAAAATTCACTTGATGGCAGTGGTTTTCACGCTCCAACTTTATGGAAACAGATTGCTACATCTTTCTCCTGCAGAATGGCCAGTGGGCTCAAATCAAACCACCAACCTCTCCATTAGCAGCCAAGCACTGAATCACTATACCACTTGTTGTTGTTGTTGTTTGCTGTCGAGTCGGCCCCCACTCATAGAGCCCCCTCCTTGGGTTTCCGAGGCAGTATCACTACAGAGGTAGGATTGCCCAACCTTCCTTCCGAGGAGTGGCTGGTGGGTTTGAACCGCCAGCCTTCTGGTGAGCAGTCAAATGCCTTAGGCACTAGGCTACCAACTGAGACTCACTGGGGTCTTGTTCTAACCACCTGACCCTCTTCACCTGCATGCTCCACAGGGCCAGGAGCAATGGTTTTTATTCACCATTTTATAGCTAGCGCCTGGCATCCAAAACTCGCTGCCATTGAGTTGATTCTGACACATAGCAACCCCCATTGGGTTTCCAAGGCTGTAAATCTTTACAGAAGCAGGATGCCTCATCTTCCTTCCGTGGGGTGGCTGGTGGGTTCAAACCATCGACCTTCTGGTTAGCAGCCAAGTGCCTTAACCACTGTACCACCAGAGCTCCTCAGAGCCTAGCACAGAGGCTATTAAACAACAACAACAAAAGTTGCATGCACAGATGACTTCAATACCAGCCATGTATGTATGCACAAGCCGTAAATATTTATGGCACCATCATTTGTATTAGTGGAAGTCTGGTATCTTCTTCTCCCACCTATAATGGCTGTTTCAGAAGCTCCCTAGGGCAGAGAGTGCCAGAGTCAGGGGCCCAAGCAAGTGAGAGAGTGCAACTCGAGAGAAGGGCCACTCCAGGTCCTTGCAGGGAATCTACAAGCCCTTTCTTTCTTCCTGGCAGTAAAGCACAAAGGAAGAACCCAAAGAGACCAGAGAGCCATTTTAGCCTACGGTTTGCATGCTATTCCAGCTTGGGATTCATTATAGTCAAGTAATGAAAAAAGAGCACCACATCCACGAAAACTATCAAATAAGTTGATTACTATTCACCACAGGAGCTACAAACCAGAATTCATTATTTTAGCCCCAACTGTGGAAGGACACATTCTTCCATAGGGACCAATGCTCTTTCCAAAAGGACAAAGAGGACACAGGCAATATCTCTCTATCCTAACTATTCATATCCCTGTTTAAGAATTCAGAAATGAAAGTCTAAAATAGAAGATGTCTAGATGTAGTTCAGACATTTTGAGTCGAGTTGAAAACATGAAAACGCTGCCCAGGCAGTTAGTGAGGAGGTAACGAGGGTCTATTATCAAGATATATGGGTTAATAATTTCATGGGGTTATTCCAGAATGATCTGCTATGATTGAAACCATGTGTGGAGAGTTTGGCTTCTGCGGGATGTTTCTCAGCAACAAAGACCCTCAAGATGTATGAGCTCTGCCTGCCCTGTGCACAGATGATTGACTTAGATACACTTCCCAGACATAAACAGCCGAGGAATGTCACTGAAGTTGGCCATGCCATCAGATAGGGAAGGAAGACGCTTACCACGTTGTACAGGCCGATGCACCAACGTTCAAACAGAATCTGCCCGGAAAATCCATTAACAAAAGCGAACCAGAGCTGAAAGAGAAGAAAAGTTCATGGAGTTTTATATCAATATTGACCTAAATGTTTCCCCTCGCTGAAGAGCTAATGGGGGAATGTGGATCACCAGCCGGACACATCTGCTCAGGAATCATTAGCCCCAAGACCAGAGCAGTTGTTCATTCATGAAATATACACCCTTGAGATCATAAACATCAACAAGTGAAGGAGGACTGAGATTTAAGGCATACATCAATACGGTTAATAAATAACTTATGAGAGGCAATATGCAAATGTTTACAGAAAACAACTAATTTAGGCTTCATGGGTCAGTGTCAACACTTTCTCACTGATGGAAAGAGTGTCACTTCATGTTCTTTTATCTTGTAATGCTGATCGAATAAATATGACTTATCTTGGTGAGACTCTGCAGAGAGGTAAAAATCATAAATTAAAAAAAATATAAACAACGCCCTCTTGGTCATGTAAGAAGCTTTGGTGGCACAGTGGTTAAAGCATTTGGCTGCGAACCAAAAGGTGGGTGGTTCGATCCCGTCAGCTGTTCTGCAGGAGAAAGATGAGGCAATCTACTTCTGTAAAGATTAACAACCTTGGAAACCATCTGGGGCAGTTCCACTCTGTCCTCTAGGGGTGCTGTGAGTCAGAATTGACTCCACGGCAGTGGGTGTGGTTTGGGCTTTGCTTCTGTAAAGACTGACAGCCTTGGAAACCCTGTGGTGCAGTTCCACTCTGTCCTCTAGGGGCGCTGTGAGTCAGAATCGACTCACCCAGCAGTGGGTTTGGTTTGGGCTTTGCTTCTGTAATGATGACAGCCTTGGAAACCCTGCGGGACAGTTCCACTCTGTCCTCTAGGGGAACTATGAGTCAAAACTGACTCAGTGGCAGTAGGTATGATTTTGGTTTGATTGGTCATGCAAATTCCTAGTTCTTAAAATAGTTACCCTCCTTTGCTTGATGTCAGATGCTCAGAAAAGATCAAGATGCAATAATATAAAAGGAGCATGACTCAGATCCTCTTTTGGAATAACATGAGATGTGTAAATACATAAAATGTAGACTATCGCTTATGCCTTCAAGTAGTCTATTATTCTAATACATTAGGTAACAATGACAAAAAACAACTACAAAGCAAAGCACAAGAACAGAATCAGTGCTGCATGACAATGGAATAAAACTGTCTTTGAGACAAGAATGACCACCAAGGGTATAATTAGGTGAGGACGTGGAGGAGGTAAGAAAGAGTGGAAGAGGGCAGGGTAAACTGTGGGGGAGATGGACAATACCCTGACATACAAGAGAATGAATACAGAAATATGGAGTATAAAATAAAACCAAAACCAAATCAAACTCACTGCCGTCGAGTCGTTTCCAACTCATAGTGACCCCTCCTTGGGTTTCTGAGGCAGTATCACTAGAGAATTAGATTGCCCAACCTTCCTTCCGAGGAGTGGCTGGTGGGTTTGAACCGCCAGCCTTCTGGTTAGCAGTCAAGTGCCTTAGGCACTACGCCACCAGAGCTCCCAGAATATAAAATATTATTGTTTAAAATTCAGTTGAATTTATATGATACAACAGGATCCCAATGAGTTTAGGTACACTCTAACTGCCACCCATCCTTCCTTAAAATACTCCATGTCAATCACAAATATGCTTTGTTGTTATGTTGTTATGTGCTGTCGAGTTGGCCCCGACTCATAGCAACCCCTCCTTGGGTTTCCAAGGCAGTATCACTATGGAAGTAGATTGCCCCATCTTCCTTCCGAGGAGTGCCTGGTGGGTTTGAACCACCAGCCTTCTGGTTAGCAGTCAATGCCTTAGGCACTACGCTACCAGAGCTCCCCAAATATGCTTTAGTAGTATAAAATCATGACGGACTTAATTAGTTAGTGTGACAGACCCATCTTGGCAACATAAAATAGCTATACCATGATAACCTGAGTTGAAAAAATACTACTAAAATAGTACTAAAATTTAAAATATATATTTTATTATGTTTGTGGTGAAGGTTTACACAGCAATTTAGGTTCCCAGTCAACAATTTCTACACATGTTCTTCAATGACATTGGTTACATCCTTTATGGTGTGTGAATATTCTCATGATTATCATTCTGGTTGTTCCATTTCCATTAATCTAGTTTCCCAGGGAGCTCTGGTGGCATTTGACAGCTAATCAGAAGACTGGTGGTTCAAACCCACCAGCCACTCCTTGGAAGGAAGGTTGGGCAATCTACTTCTGTAGTGATACCGCCTCGGAAACGTAAGGAAGGGTCGCTATGATTGGATCTGACTTGATGGCAGTGAGGGTTTTTTTTTTTTTTTTCCCCAGAGCTTTCCTGCACCCTTACAGTCTCATATTTATTTTAAAGTCATTGTTGATTGTGGTACTGACATTTTACTGTCATATTTTTCAATATCAGTCTCTTGATGCTACCAGACTAAGCTTCTTGAGAAAGGAATTATTTTCTGTGCACCTCCATGCACAGTGTACACTATGTAATAAAAACCAAACCAAACTCAATACTTGGTAAAAAAAAAATACGGATTCATTAAGTCCCAGTGCAATTAAATTAAACACCTCAGCTCAATCGCCAGATATATTTTTCTTAAGCACATCTTTCACCACCTCATTCCCTAATTCAGAAACTACTCGGGCTCTTTCTAAGTCTAAGACAAGCTTGCTGACTTTGAAAAATCCCTCCACACTTCCGTTCACTGTTTTTAAAACATTTTCTTGTGTTTTTGGTGAATGTTCACATTGCACGTTCGGTTCTCATTTGACAATCTGCACACTTGTTCAGTGACTTTGGTTACATTTTTTGCAATGTGTCAACATTCTCTTTAATGGTGCCTTGGTTGGCCATTTCCAGTGCTCTAGTTGCCCTACCCCCTTGTCTTCTCATGTTTGCTTTAGAGTAAATGTTAACCTTTCGGTCTTCGGGTGTTTTTTGAAGAAGAGCACCATACTCATGGGTAATATTTTTTATTTTGTGTGCTACTCTTCTACTTCTCTGAAAGGTGATTGTCGTAGTTCAGTTTGTGTGTCAACTTGGCTGGGCCTGGTTGAGTGGCTGGGCAGCTGGATGTAGTATTCCCCATGATGAGACTGGTAATCAACTCCATGGTGGAATCTACTGTGAGCAGCTGAGTAGCTGCCTTAGGGATGTGGTCTGCTTCCTGTATATAAGGAGAAGCCTTGGGGAATGGTCTCTAGCTTATGGCATGCTTGGACCCTGCATGTAGCTGTGTCATTGTTCAGCAGCCTGCCAGACTCTGCTGACCTTGGGACTTACAGTGGACTTGAATTAATGGCCTGCTGTGTGGTTTGGTAACATTGCGACTGTGCCTTTTAATTTGCCAACCTTGGGCTTGTTAGCCTCAGCAGCCAGTAGCTGTCTGAGTGAAGAGATGGCTCTAACTTCAGTGGGCTGGGAGCAAGAGTCAGAGCTGACACCCAAGGTCGAGGGGCTTTCACCCAACCCCTAGAGCCTGGCACTTTGAACTTGTACTTAGAGCCTCTAAACTGTGAGAGAATAAACTCCTGTTTGCTAAGGCCAGCCCATTGGTGGTGTGTTCTTGTCAGAGCGGCACTAAGGAACCAGAACAGTGATCTTGGGATAATTTCAGTTCAAGGTTTAAAGAGGGTCTCAAGGGGTCCTCTTCATCTCAACTGGTTCAGTTTGCTTGGCCTTTTTAAGAATTTGAGTTTTGTTATACACTTTCCTCCCATTTTATTTGGGACCATCTACTGGGAGCTCTGGTGGCATAGTGCCTAAGGCCTGTGACTGCTAACCAGAAGGCTGGCAGTTCAAACCCACCAGCCACTCCTCACAAGGAAGGTTGGGCAATCTACTTCTGCAGTGATACCACCTTGGAAATCCAAGGAGGGGTTGCTGTGAGTTGCATCCAACTCAACCACAGTGAGTTTGGTTTTTTTTTTTTTTTTTACTGTCAGTATGGTCAGTGGTGGTGGCTGGGCACCATCTAGTTCTTCTGGTCTCAAGCAGGTGATGCGATGGCTCAGGTAGGTATCAGACCTGTAGCTTTGTTTCTTCTCTGAGATATCAGTTACCTTCTGACTCTTTGGCTCCTCATGAGTAGGAACCAATAGTCGTATTTCTTCTATTCACTCTTAATTTCAACTATTCCCCAAGAGGTCACCAAGAGGCCTGGGTGGTCTCACTGGTTTAGAACGGAGTACAAGACGTTTGCCCCGCACTCCTTACTCAGAATGGTCTTATGACACCGATTCAAATAGTCAGTCTTCAAACTAAAATTTCAATCCTGCTGCTGTCCCACCATTCAAAAGTTCAGCAATCAATAGTCCAACCAAACTTTTAGTGCAATGAGTACCCTTACTTGACTCAAACATTTTTGTGAACTGTTTCAAGATCTTCAACTTAGTTTGCCCCAAACTGTGTTATATTTCTGTGTCCTCCTATTCAAACAATTGAGAAAACACTGATAGATACCTGTTGTTATTAGGTGCTGTTCATTGATTCTCACTCATAGCAATGTTATATGAGAAAACAGAATTGCCCATAGGGTTTCCTAGGCTGTAAGGACCTCTGGTGGTAGTGCCTAAGGCATCTGAAGGTTGGCAGTTCAAACTCACCAGTCGCTTTGTGAAAGAGAGATGGCCAATGTACTTCTGTAAAGATTTATCACCTCAGAAACCCAATGGGGGTTGCTATGAGTCAGAATCAACTTGATGGCAGCGAGGTTTTTTTTTGGGGGATCTTTGTGGGAGGACATCATCAGATCTTTTCTCCTGCTGAGTAGTTTGGGGGGGTTTGAACCACCAACTTTCTGATGAGCCAACCAACAAGTGCTCAACCACTGTATCATCAGGGCTCCTAGAAATCTAGAGAGCAGTGAACTCTTATTGTCAATTTTGGTTAATCTGTTGTCTTGTACAAGGTGGTAGAGTATGATATTTCTACTACTCTTTCCTCCCTAATATCAACTGAAAACAGTAAAAATAATTGAACATAGAAAAGAAATGAATCATTTTCAA